TATATTTTCAAAGTTAATTCATGTTTTAAGGCTTTAAGATCCGGACAGGAAAAAAAAGTGTAATTCTGTTAGACTGCACAGCTGTTTAGAACCAACTCAGTAAGCACTGACTTAATGAATGAGAAGCAATAAACCCAGCAAGGGGGACAAAAAAAAGTAATGACTCAAATGTAGAGCAACTGAAATGGAACCGGACCAATGTGAATGTCTTATTTGACCCTATATCTTTCATTAAACTAATCATGTACATTTATCTCAGGCTCTATAAGTTTTATTATCCAAGTTAGACACAGTCATAATTCTCCCTCACCCCACTGCTATTGCCAGGGATGGAACTCAGTGCCTTGTTTATGATGGACAAATACTCTACCACTGATGATTAGATGATTACTAAATAATCTTAGCCCAAGATCACAATTTTAGACATTTCAGCTTTCTATGCCAAACAAAAGGGAGACATGTGGATTCCTATTTCTTTCCCTTAGTAAAAGCAAAGAAATCAGGTCACATGACAGTTAGGTATAAGATGGAACTGAAGCAAAATACACCTGGTCTCTGGATTTGGTTCTTAGCTCCAAATCTTCTTAAGAGACAGACCATTCATTGTTCTTCTGCCCTGGTGATCTCCCTTCTTGTTTATTTGGCAAGCATCTCATTGTCTTTCAAACCCACCTTGATCAACGTCCTCCTGAACACTTCCACTGGCTGCATGTTCTATACTACCAATGCATGTTCTATACTACCACCATCCTTTGTGGCCCCTTTCATTGCTGCTGTTTTCACAGTAATTGAAACCATTTATTTGCACACAGATGGTTCACACTAGACAGCTTCTTGAGAGATGAAACAATGCTTAATTCTTTATTCCAGTGTGTGCCTGGAACCTAGCTGCACTGAATACATATTTTCCATTAAGTTTCTCAAAGCCAAGTAATTTTCCCCTAAAAATCCCAAAGCCCCTTTCTCATCATTCCCTTGTCCAGGTACCAGGTAAAGCCTGTGGCTATGTGTAGAAAGATCTCCTGGGCTTTAGAAGATGGGGGGGGGTGAAATTTTCACGGGAAATGCACAAGAGTCATGGGTGCAGAGGTCAGAGCAACTGCAAGGTTAGACACTCACAGTTCTTTCTGCTGTAAAATCTGAGCCCTCCCCCACAGTGCTCCAACACTGTAAACACAACTCCTTGAACTGAGGGGTCAGCAGGTAAAGCTACATTTCCTTTGGTGATCTACTCTAAAACCAACTGGCCATTAGCTCCCTCAAGTAGCAATCTGTCCTGCCTTATATGAGTCTTCACTTTTTTAAGTGCAACTTATTGGTGTTCTTGAACAAATCAGTTTTACATTTATTCTCTATAAATGATGCCATTAAGTCCCTCTAAGTGCATGAGAGAAGAGGTGGGGAGGGGAGAGAAAGAAAGTCATTATGCAAAGCAGTGAGACAAACAATTGGCCCAGAGTGGGAAATGTCGGCCTTCTGTTATTCTCTCATAGGCCTCTCTAGACTCCGTTTATAAAGTACATCATCTTTGAAATCCACCAAGTTTCTGTAATGAAGCATTCCACAAAAAGCTATGACTTAGGTGAAATACCACAGCAGCAACTAACTCCACATAGATAACCCATACTATGTATAACCATGCAGCCCATGCCCAATAGTCCAGGTGACTCAAGACACAACTACCAGCTCCAAAAACGCTGGAGGCAAAAGGCTGGCACCTCAAAAACACACTTCAGGTAGCCCTGCATGATTCTACTGCAGCACTCACACCTCATTTTTGGAAAGCCCTATAACTCAAGTCTGAGGGCAGTGTCACAGAGTCAATAAATTCTAAACATAATCCTCATTAAAAAATACTCCCACACATATACTGAGTACCTAGTATTACAGGCATTTTCTAAATGATGGTATGGTCCTCATTTATATTTTTAAAAGTATAAAAAGGTGCTTTGATACATTATGAGAACATCATCTGAAATAAATCAAAATAATATGTCAAGAAACAACAAAAAGGGGCTAGGTTATAGCTTAATGGTAGATCACGTCCTTACCATGTGCAAGGTCCCAGGTTCAACCTCCAGCACCAAAAATACTTTAAACCAACAACAGTCAAGAAAAACCTCACAAAACAAAATGAAACCACAACTTAAAACATTCTCTGATATGCTAGTCCCATATAAGAACAATTCCATAATGTCACCTTTTGTTTCATTATGCCATCTGGAAAAAGACATAAACATATCAGTTACATGCCTATTTATGCTCTTAACATTCACATTCATACCACACTCACCATTCACCACAAATACCAACTATGTATCTAATAATAATGAAAGCAAATAAAATGCACTGAAACACATTCTACATGTGTTCTAAAGGTTTAGCATGTGTTTTTACCCTTCAAAACAACCATATGAGGTAAAAACTACAATTATCTTATTTCCTAGCTACAGTTTGGTTCAATGACCCCTCCAAACACACTGTCTTTATCTTTTTTACTTGGTTTATGTCTCTTATTTATTATCAATAATCAGGTTCACTATAGATTATTCTGTGACTGGGAAACAAGAGCACCAAAGAACTGAAAATATACCATCCTTTTCACTCACAAGCTCTGGTTTGCAACATTAATTCACAAACAATAAAGGCAGCAGACAGCTCCCATGAAAGGAGAAGGAGATACAAATGCAAACACATTAAAATCTGAAAAGCAATTAGGTCTCTAACTTGGAAAGTTAGGTATTTCCAGGTAAATATAGAATGGTGCATTTCCAGTGCCATTAACTTTAGGAAGACCGCAGCTAATCTCATTGAATCCATAAATAAAACCCACTCTTTGAACATTACATAATTCACCCCTCTGCCTCTCATTTCCTGGACAGCAATCAATTCTTGAAAGGCAATCAACTTCTTTCTCCCCATGCAACAGGAAAAAAATTCTAGTGATGCTGTGTACACACCAAGACATATTCACTAAAATCATCTCTTTGTGATTTTTGTCTCCCACCTAATTATAGATGAAATATGATTTACATTCCTTGTTCAAGTGTTATATATTTAATAGATTATTCCATATCAGTTTATCCAGTCAAGTCAGAATGACAGTAGCAATGTTAATCAGGGTTAGGCCTACGTATCAATTTTAAGCTTCATATAGTTCAATGAAATTATCAAGAGTTGTGGGACACCATCAATATGTTTTGCTCTCTGTGTCAAGAGATTCAGAGTATTTGTTGATTTCTCCTTCATGTTCTATTTCACTCATAGTGGGGGAAGAGAATATGTGCAACATATGTGCTGAAACTCGGCCGCACACGCTCCATGGTGGGGATGCTGAGGGCCCAATCTAAGAAGAAGGATGCTATCTTGCTACCTGGAGCCTTGACACCAGCTAAGCCATCAGGCCACATTTCCCTGTTCTTCTTGGAGACTGGAAAACCCAAGCCCCTCTGTGAAGGAACTTATCTTCTCCAGCCACCTCATCCTCTCATTTCATCCTCTGGAACTCATTTTCCCTCAACTCCCCTTCTTCCAAATCAGGGCAACTGTCTCTCTCAAACACTTTGCGAAAGCACATAACCTTCTCCACTGTTCAACTTGCACTGATCACTTCCTCCACATGTTACTAATTAAAATGTGGTTCTTTTATACAGGGTCTCAGTACCCCACCTCAAGATCTTCCTATTCATTCTTCTAAACCTTACAGCTTATAGTTCATTGCTGGTGATGTTGAAACTATCCTAGCTCCTGGCTATAACTATAACATGAGTTTTTCTAGCCTCACGGAAAAGAAATATACATCATGTGCCTAGTCTACCTCTTTGAGCTGAGCAGACTGTCTCCCTTCTCTATCGTTTCATTGCCTACAAAAGTGAAATGCATTCTACTGCACTACTGTAAAGCAGAATGAGCTAATATAAGTGCTTAGCAAAGTACCTAGCACAAGGTAAGTGCTAAATGTTCTTTAACCTATGCTCATTCTTTCTTTCAGCTTATAATCTTTCATGACAAGAAGAGGGGTGGTAGCTTAGATGTGATCAAACAGCCATCTGGGGCCAAGATTAAAGACACTAATTCTACCATATACCTTTCCATCAATCACTTGTCTGATAAACCAAACATTCACTAGAAAATTGCCAACAGAGTATTGTACCAAATTCTGCAGGTTTTAGAGGAGATAGAACTAAAACTTGGTAGCTACACAAAGGAATATAAAGTCTGATTAAAAAAAAAACTGTCTTGTATAATTACAATAGAACTGATGAGACACAGTGATGACAGTAATCTCCAAGTGGAGCACTGAAAGATCTGGACAATTAAGAAATATTTAAGCTCACGATTGCTAAGATTCAACTTACTTCTCTGGCCAGTCATGGATCCTGAGAATCTGTTATTTGGGTCTGGGCCTCAGTGAGCAATGGACAGTGGTAGGAGTGTATTCAAGTTCAAGGTATGCTACAACAGGTGACTGAGAGTACTTACCGAGGGTCAATTCAAAACAATCTAGAGTTCAAGGACCAATAAGATGACCTTAAATATCTTTAAAATCCAGTTATTTATGGAAAACAGTTCCTTGAAAATAAAAACAGACTTTACATGTGATCTAGCAATTTTACTTCTGTGTGTGTGTATGTATATGTATGTATGTGTGTGTGTGTGTGTATATATATACACACACACACACACACATACACATACATATATAGATATCTACATATGTACATACACACACACAGAAAACAGAAAAGAGGATTGCAAAGAGACTTGCACATCCATGTTCATAGCAACACTACATATACAATAGCCAAGAGGCAGAAGCACACCTCACATGTAAAATAAAGAATGAATGGGTAAACAAAACGTGGTATAGATACACAGGAAAATGTTTTCAGCGGGCCAGATAGACCAACAGACAGTGCCCAGGGAGGCGAGGCCGGTGGGGAGCCCGGCGCCGCCAACGGGGCCAGGCATAAGGGCAGATGGGGAGAGGAGGCGCTTACCTCCAGCGCTTCAAAAATGACAAAGCTGGTCATGGCAACTTGATGTCCTCTTCGGCCAAGGTGGACTCGCGCCGCTTCCTCCGCGGAAGTCTGGGCAGGGACCAGGCGGAGGACGGGGGCTTCCCATTGTCTTCCTTGTCGGAGCCCAACGACCAGGGGAGCAAGGGCGCCCAGGTCCAGCCGGCCCCGCCGCCGCCCACCGCCCGCCGCGCCGGGAGCGCGTCTCCAGGTCTCGCTGTGACTGCCGCTTTTTGCGGAGTCCATGGCCCGAGCCCGGCCATCCATGGCTCTGCCACGCCGGGGTCCCCGCGCTCGCCGCCCGCGCGCCACAGGCTCCAGCCGCGGCCGCACAAAAAAATTGACACGGTGCCCTCCCTCCCGCGGCACGGCTTCCCTCCGCCCCGCGCAGACGCTCGCCGCCCGCACCCGCCGGCGGGCCCGCAAAGGTCGCGGCAAAGTCGGGGCGCGGAACTTCGCCTGCCCCAGGCGCGGGAGAACGTCACCGCCGCTGCTCACGCAGGAAACTCACTGCCGGGCCGCCAGAGGTCCAACCCGCACAGCCAGCGGCGGCCGGGGCCAGGCAGCGCGAGCCCAGGCCATGCGTGCTGGCGAGGCCGGGCCTGCGCACTGGGGGTAGCGGGGCGCCTCGCGGGGGGCGGGGGGCGAGTGGCAGGGGGCCAGGGGGACGAGCAGCGGGGGCCGGGGCCGCGCGCCGGGGCGGCAACCGGAGCGCCCGGCCGACAGCCCCCGACCTTCCGCGCGCCCCGCCCGCCTTCCCAGGATACTTGCTCCTTGACCCGCCTGAGAAGCCCCAGGGCTTTTCCCCTGGGCGACCCGTGGGGTCAGAGGAGGACGCTTGGGGCAGGGACGCTGCAGGGCGCTCGGGGCCAGGGCGTGCCAGGCTCCGCAGAGTGAGCCGGTGAGGCCCGCTCCAGCAGCTCCAGGCCACGCAGCGCTCCTGCAAACATATTCTTCAGTCTCTGCCATATGAAGCCAATGAAAGATGCCTGCTGGTGACCAAATGATGCTCATGCAAAAAAAAAAGTGGTTCTGAAAATTTTAATAAGACTTATGTTTTAAAAAATTGTGTCTTTATGTCTTCTCAGGAAATGTTTTCAATTCAAAATTTCATGTGACATGATCAAGTGTGAAAATTGATGGAAGATCATATGAAAAAATTTCAAATGACTCTTTAAAGCAACCAATGAGAGATCAAGTTTTTTTTTTTTTACTGATTGTAAACCCAAGTGTCAATTTTTAATGGATTTGATAGATGACTCCTGATAAATTATGATTTTTATATTTATTTTTAAAGAGCAATATAGATCTAAAACAGATCCAGCTAAGATACCATCCTGGTTGAAGAAAGTATCCACCCTCTGGAATTACACAAAAAATATACTAGATACTGAGGACATGCCCTAGTTCAGTTCCCAGCAACACACACACATATACACACACAAATAACAATAATAATAAGTAAAAATAATAAATTCTAGTCCAGATCCAGTTACAAGCCTCCTATTCACAAAACTTAGTAATTAGTTTGTGTTTCTGCCATGTTCAAGGCCTTTAGTGGTCTGATTCCTGTTGCCTCTCAAACGCCTTTATTTCAAAATGTATTTTTCAGTGCATCCTAAGCTAGCTCTTTCCAGAACACCTCCATACCCTTGCCCATGCTGATCCATCAGTCCAGAATCTCCTTTACTGCCATCCAGACTTAATGAATTTCCATTCACCTATCAAAGCCAACTCATCTAGAAAGCTTATTCTTACTATTTCCATTTAGAATTATCACCCTTTTTCTACTTATGTGGCACTTTAATTTATGGGCTTATGTATATTTCAATGTATTGTTAAATATTTTGAAGTAATATAATGACAAATCATGTATACTTTCCCATTTCTAAAGGGCCTTATATTATTTACAAAATAATTAAGTTGAAGGATAATTGATTAAAAAAAAAAAACTACCTACCAGAAGAATATTGTCTATATACCTTTCCAAAGTACCTGACCCCTCTTATGTACCTGTCTAGAGTCCTGTCCAATCTCTGCAATCCCAGGCCCCTGAAATCTTCTTTTACCATCCCCCAGGGGACATCATTACTCTGAATCCCACGCTTACCATTCCATGCATTTCTCTATATTGTTAATACATATGGAAGTATCCCTAAGCAATATATAGGATTCTTTTGCATGTTTTTTAATCTACATACATGATCAGTCTATATGTATTATTTTAAAATTTGCTATTACAGTCAGTTTTTTATTTGTCAACACTGTTGATACATACAGTTTCCGGGCATTGTTTTCACTGTTGCCTACTAATTCCATCACATGAACATTCCACAACATATTATTTGATTTCTATCTCATCAATAGAAATTTAAATTGCTTACAATTTTTGTTAGAAATAGCACAGTGCAGAAGGAGACAGGGTCCCTTCTGTTTATACTGCTGTTATGGGACTTGCCACACTATTCTCTTATTTTGTTATTACACATACATTCTGTGACTCAACTGTCACAGGACTGGGTGGGCAATGCCAAATGCTAAATGAATGTAAACTGATTTTCAAGACTTATCCTTTCTGTATTTGAGTTTAGATTTTGTAGACTTAGGCTGCTATGTTTTCTAGTACAGATGAAGACTTGAATCTTTAGATTTTCACACTTCTCCTTCAGAAACTCTAAAAATAAGTTGGAAGGAAACTCAAGACTTAGTATTAAAAGGGGCTCCTTAGCCAGGCAGGTGTGGTGGCACACACCTATAATCCTAGTGACTCTGGAGGCTGAGGCAGTGTAATTTGGTAAGACCCTATCTCAAAATAAAAAAAAAAAAGTTGAGGATGTATCTCTGTTGTAGAGCAGCAATAGGTTCAATCTCCAGTGGGAAAAGTGGGGGCAAGGTGGTCCTTAAAAATGAGTTTGTGGTATTCCTGAGTTCCTTAATGCCTCTGTCAATTTTGGAACACAATAGATGTTTCTTTATGAATTTATGACTACCCAGTGATCACATTTCTCTCTTCAAATGCTATTAATTGTTTTGCAAGATCAAAAAAAAAAGGAAATATTTTTATCTGTGATGAAATGATCCTGGCTTTCAAAACAAACAAGCAAATACTTTATTGTTTGAAACATCCAGATAAATATATTGCCCCACTCCTAGCATGGATTTATATTACCAGGAAGTTTCATGAAATGGTTACATAGAAGGATAATTGATAAGCTATCAGAAAAAAAAAAAAAATATATATATATATATATATATACTAAGAAAAGTAAACATTTGTTATGTGTTGAACAGAACAATCACATTATACTGTTTTCTGTTTTTGCAGATAAGACCCAGAGCTTGAAGACAATGGGTTTATGCAATGCAAATAAATGTATTAAAGTCTTTCTATTTTAAATGAAAATAAAAATGTTTATATGTTGTCAGCACAATTCTATCCTATGTTGTGTTTTTCCTGAAAGTTCAAATTTGAAGGAGGAATTTTATGTATAAAAAAATGAATATTTATGCACACAAAAAACATTTGTAACATTATATTTGGGGGGAAAACTTGAAAAAACAACATAAATGCCCTAAAATAAAGGATAAGTAACTTATAACATGAAAATATGTTAGAATTTAATGAATTTATTAAAGCTATGATTTTGTGAAACTATGTATTTGTTAACTAATAAATAGAATTGTAAATACCTCTGATTACAATTGTTCTGTTTTTTGTTTGTTTTGGAGTTTTTTTTGGTACTGAGGAATGAACCCAGGGTGCTTTACCACTGAATTATATCCCCAGCCCTTTTTTGTAATTTTTATTTTGAGACTGAGTCTCACTATTTATATTTATTTATTTATTTATTTATTTATTTTTAAATTATTTAATTTTATTGCCAGAAATATATAAAACTATCTATCAGATATACCAAGACCTTCTACCCGGCATTGTACTTTCTTTTTTTTTTTTTTTTTTAATTTTTTATTGTTGTCTGTTCAAAACATTACATAGTTCTTGATATATCATATTTCACAATTTGATTCAAGTGGGTTATGAGCTCCCATTTTTACCCCATATACAGATTGCAGAATCACATCAGTTACACATCCATTGATTTACATATTGCCATACTAGTGTCTCTTGTGTTCTGTTGCCTTTCCTATCCTCTACTATCCCCCCTCCCCTCCCCTCCCCTCCCCTCCCCTCCCCTCTTCTCTCTCTGGCCCCTCTATTGACATTCGTTTGTCCCCCTTATATTATTTTTCCCCTTCCCCTCACTTCCTCTTGTATGTACTTTTGTATAACCCTGAGGGTCTCCTTCCATTTCCATGCAATTTCCCTTCTCTCTCCCTTTCCCTCCCACCTCTCATCCCTGTTTAATGTTAATCTTCTTCTCCTGCTCTTCGTCCCTACTCTGTTCTTAGTTACTCTCCTTATATCAAAGAAGACATTTGGCATTTGTTTTTTAGGGATTGGCTAGCTTCACTTAGCATAATCTGCTCTAATGCCATCCATTTCCCTGTAAATTCTATGATTTTGTCATTTTTTAATGCAGAGTAATACTCCATTGTGTATAAATGCCACATTGTTTTTATCCATTCATCCATTGAAGGGCATCTAGGTTGGTTGCACAGTCTAGCTATTGTGAATTGTGCTGCTATGAACATCGATGTAGCAGTGTCCCTGTAGCATGCTCTTTTTAGGTCTTTAGGGAATAGACCGAGAAGGGGAATAGCTGGGTCAAATGGTGGCTCCATTCCCAGCTTTCCAAGAAATCTCCATACTGCTTTCCAAATTGGCTGCACCAATTTGCAGTCCCACCAGCAATGTACAAGTGTACCCTTTTCCCCACATCCTCGCCAGCACTTGTTGTTGTTTGACTTCATAATGGCTGCCAATCTAACTGGAGTGAGATGGTATCTTAGGGTGGTTTTGATTTGCATTTCTCTGACTGCTAGAGATGGTGAGCATTTTTTCATGTACTTGTTGATTGATTGTATGTCCTCCTCTGAGAAGTGTCTGTTCAGGTCCTTGGCCCATTTGTTGATTGGGTTGTTTGTTCTCTTATTGTCTAATTTTTTGAGTTCTTTGTATACTCTGGATATTAGGGCTCTATCTGAAGTGTGAGGATTAAAGATTTGTTCCCAGGATGTAGGCTCTCTATTTACCTCTCTTATTGTATCTTTTGTTGAGAAAAAACTTTTTAGTTTGAGTAAGTCCCATTTGTTGATTCTAGTTATTAACTTTTGTGCTATGGGTGTCCTATTGAGGAATTTGGAGCCCGACCACACAGTATGTAGATCGTAGCCAACTTTTTCTTCTATTAGACGGTGTGTCTCTGATTTGATATCAAGCTCCTTGATCCATTTTGAATTAACTTTTGTGCATGGCGAGAGAAAGGGATTCAGTTTCATTTTGTTGCATATGGATTTCCAGTTTTCCCAGCACCATATGTTGAAGATGCTATCCTTCCTCCATTGCATGCTTTTAGCCCCTTTATCAAATATAAGGTAGTTGTAGTTTTGTCAATTGGTTTCTGTGTCCTCTATTCTGTACCATTGGTCCACCCGCCTGTTTTGTTACCAGTACCATGCTGTTTTTCTTACTATTGCTCTG